CTTTGCTTCTACTAAACTTAGTAATCGTGAACAAACACTTTGAGAGCAGAGACTTCAAAACGTTTAGAAAACGTCCGCTATCTTTTTTCAACTCTTCTCTGCGTAAACTCAGATTCCGACTCATAATGACCCTAAAGGCCGGGGTAAAACGGTTTCTGAGACTGACTCTACAGGAGTCGAACATACCATGTTTCTCCCAAGGGGCAGCTGGTTGTTTAGAACCACTGACCGTGTGGCTAGCAGTCCACAATGACCCTAAAGGAAGAAGCCCAAGCTGCACTAAAAGCATCAGCTGAAAACAATGAATGCTCCAGGAAGTGATGGAATAGCAATTGAAATGCCTCAATACAGCGATGAAGCATTGGGAGCTCTCACTCATCTCCCAAATTATGCCAGAAATGTTGGGAGACAGCTACTTGGCCAACCGACTGGAAGAGATCCATGTTTGTACTTTTCTCAAAGAAAGGTGGCCCAACAGAATGCTCAAATTATAGAACAATATCATTGATATCATAAGCAAGTACATTTTTGTTGAAGATCATCCAACAATGGCTGCAACACTACATGGACAAGGAGCTGCCAGAGGCTCAAGCCAGATTCAGAAGAGGATGTGAAAAAGGGACATCATGCTGATGTCAGATGGATCTTGGCTGAAAGCAGAGAATACCAGAAAGATATTTGCTACTTGTGTTCTAGAGACTACGCCAAGGCATTTGACTGTGTGGACCATAACAAACTATGGATAGCCTTGAGAAGAATGGGAATCCCAGAACACTGGATTATGCTCATGCGGAAACTGTCCATAGAGTAAGAGGCAGTTGTGTGAACAAAACAAGGAAAGGTGTGTGTCAGCATTGTATCCTCTCATCACACTTATTCGATCCATATGTGGATCAGGTCATCAGAGAATCTGGATTGTATGAAAAATGTGGCATCAGGAGTGGAGGAAGGTTTATTAACAACCAGCAATATGCAGATGATACAACCTTGCTTGCTGAAAATGAGGAGGACTTGAAGTATTTGCTGATGAAGATCAAAGATCTTAGCCTTCAGTAGGATGACAACTCAATGTAAAGAAGACCAACTGTCCAAATAA